TGAAAGTTGCGGACAAGTTGCTGCGGACACACACACACACACACACAAACACACAGACAACCCCGTGACAATATGCGTTTTGTGCTGTTGTTACACAGCACAAAACGCATAAAAACAAGGGTCCAACTCGGCTGTCACGGCATACGGGCACAACGGCGGCTGTGATTTCCGCGCAAATCTGACTGCCTCGTAGCAACAGTGCGATTTACTTGGGAGTACTACGCAGCCTTTGCTCTCCCGTCTTTCCGTCAAGTATGATTCAGCAAGTTCATTTGATTTTCTTTTTTTTATTCGGCCTTTACGAAGTAATTGCTTTTTTACCGCCAATGATATTAACTCAGTCACGTTCACTGGCGGGGTTTAATTCTGCATCTACTTGCAGAGCCTAAATTTCTCTCGAACCACTGCAGGTTCTGAGTTATGGGACTGTTTAATCAAGTATAGTTTTCCGTTAGAGTATTCATGGAAATATTGTTCGCTGCATCGAAGGCGCAAAAATGCGCTGCAGTGAAATAACCGCAGAAGAAAGTACAGTTTATTAGTTTTGTTTTGCTAAAATGTTAACAACTGAATAAAATTACCCGATATATTATTTCAAAAAATTGTTCGAAAGACCTTCGCTCTCCTTCAAATTTCCAAAAAGTGCTGGTTTTCTAAAGAAACGTAAGTGGCTTGTTGCTGCACTACGCGAGCACTAACTACATTTTGTCTACCTACATGCCCCGCAGCAAGTAATATGACACATTTCGCCATATCGTATTTTTTCTAGCGATGATTTTTACTTATTTTGTTATTAATTTTATTGATTTTTCTGGACTTATTCACACTGAGCAAAGCAGAAAACTGGCGAAGACTTTCGCGAGTATGTGTTTGTTCCAGCGCTTTTACTACTCAGGTCTTGACAAAATTCATTGTTTTGTTTCCATGGCGCATTGATAATTTGCATATTAGTAAATCATATTGTCTTCAGCTTGCTCTTACAATTTTTTAAAAATGTATCAGCATCATCCAGTGGCCAGTACTGCTAGTAAAAGCAAAACCACTTGAGCCAGAGGGAAATGCTTTTCCTGTCTTAATGACTGACTTGTAAGGTTAATAGGAGTTAACTTTAAATTAAGACTTACTTCTCTGGCAGTATTGCTGAATGTGACGTGATACTGAGCCATAGCACGCAACACAGCATCCACTGCGTAAATTGTGTTGCTGTAAACTACAGAGCGTTGCTTCATCAGTTCATCTTCCGTAAAACCATTGTTGTGCAAAATCCTACAAAAATAACAAGAGCTGAATATGGTTTCAGAGCAATCACCCTTTGTGTGCACAGGAACACAAAACTGCTTTGTTCCGACGTCATGCAGAAATGTCATGGAAATGTAGAACTGCCAAAAAATGTTTTTGTACTTACATCTAGCTGTATACTCAGAGCAAGAAAATTCAAAGATATAGAACATCAGTACAATTAGATGACGCCATGTGTGCAACTCACTAACCTCATTTGCTTCAATACTGTACTTTTGCCGCATTCGCCAGCACCTAAAAAGTTGTTTTCGCTACATTTCATCCAGTTCAAGAAGAAATTGAAACCCCGTTGGATTGTCCACTTATTGGGAAAATTGCATTGGTAAAAAGGAACCAAAACTATAAAATTATTAGGTCGGCGAAAGTTTGATTTAAGGCAAAACGTTTCCTCGTCCCACCAGAAACCATTTGTTCGGCAACTGTCGGTAACGTCAGAGTAATTTATCTAACTGCTTTCTGACCTATTCAGATTAATGTATTCAGACTTTTTGTGCGTTTTCGCTGTGCAGCGCAGTAGTACTGCTGCAGTAAGCAAAAACTTATATTGGCAAGAGGATGTATGTGTCCGTGTGTGTGTGTGTGTGTGTGTGTGTGTGTATCCACGTGTCCACGTGTGTCTGTGTGTTCGCACTTTTTGTTACCCATTTTCAACTTGAGAACCAGAAAGGCTAGAAAGCTGAAATTCCGGAAGTATATGCCAACCTCCTATGCGGTTGGAGGTTGGCAGGTTGGTTTATAGGTTGGTTTATATGGCAGGCTGGTTTATATGGTTTATATGCCAACCTCCTATGCGGTCTTAATATTACCACTCACGTACGCCCAGATCCCATGTAGAGACGCCTAAAATTACAAATTTCTTGGTGGGAAAGCGATCTCGGAAACTAGACAGGATGAAAAACTGAAATTTTAAGGGGATGTTTCCTACCACGTACAACTTAAACACTTCAAATTCAGCCCAAGATATGCATGATACTCAAGTGCGATCACGTGGAAATTTTGGGAAAAGAAATCCTTTAGTGTCTGTGCGCGAGAACCATGTTTGCCTAGGGGCTGAATTTGAAATACTTATGTTATATGTGGGTAGGCGACATCCCCTTAAAATTTTAGCTTCCCAGCTGGTTCCCGAATTAACAGTTCTCCGCAAAACTTTCATTTGCTCGTACACGGGGCTCAGATATGCGTAATTGTGGTAATGTAGTCCTGGGATGGCATTTGGTCAGGAAATCTACCAACAGAATTTTAGCGCCGAAGCTTGCTTGGTTGTCGAGTTAAAATATCCGGACAGGCGCACACACGTACACGTGCACACACACACACACACACACACACACACAACACCGTGGGTCGTCACAATACGCGTTTTTGCATTTGCATATTTGTAAAAACCCATGAAAACTATGATCAACTGAATTCCACGAAAGCTCAATTCTATTATGCAGCAGCAGGAAAGTGATCTTGTAAGGAACATCTGTAAAATTGCTGATTGAGTTTATCCGCATAATAAAGCTTCCGAAATCTGTTATACATATCTTACTCTCCAACGAATAAGAAAGCAGGATTGCAAGTTAATAAACAGCAGAACTGGTCAGTACAAGAGGCATTACCTTAGCGAGAAAGGTAATTATGGGCCTGCTGCAGGATTTTGACGAAAAGTCGGCGAAATTAAGAAAGCGGCCATACGCATATTAGAGGATCCAAGTGAATGGCACTGAAAGACATTTGCCCAGTGGTGCAATAGCAAAATAGCAAGTGGAAGAATCTGGAGGACTTGATTTTTTCCTGTTGCATACTATTTATTCTCAGGCATTAAGCAGCGACAGGTCTGCGAAAAGATTTGGCAAGAATGTATTTTGCAGCGATGGAAACACTGCTGTGCGAAAAATACTGAAAATGGGAAAAATGCTTTTGAAGGGGTTTTTTTTTTTGTCAAGGATTTGTGGAGGAAGTAATATTCACCGAGCAGAAGTAGTTTGACAACCGTCGCATATTCCACGGCGCTTTCCTTGATTTTTCGATCAATCGCTTTGCTCCGCTGCTGCAGCTTCTTTTCTTCTTCACTCTGGCAAAGGCCCATATCATCGATTATACTATTAGACTAGTTAGCAGGAAGTTGTAGAGCACCAAATTTGGCCCACTCAGACATTAAAATAGCACCTGCAAATGCCAGTAAAGTGCAAAGTTTGAGTGAATTAAACACGAATAATGCCTTTAATTAGCATATCCTCAAGGAATGAATCGTAGGGAAGGTGGACTGAATAACAGGTTGCGTCTAAAGAGCAAAAGTAGCAAAATTGCAGCGTCACTCTGAGGCGGCACAAAAATCACCCATATGTTGTTGAAGTGTAGTACAAAAATTAAGGTACGAAAATTCTGCTCGAAGATTAGGATTCGGAAATTCTGCAATTAAGGTACGGAATTTCTGAACGTATAATTCAGCCAGCTTCGCAGTTTGTCCGGTAAGCAAAGTCGCCACTTCACTTCAAATATCTTTGGCGTGCAATAAAAGGGGGCACAAGTAGCCGACGAATAATCTGACAAACTTTCAGTTATTATTTGCTAGTTACCCTTCGAGTTGTCATAGTGCCAACTGCGAACTTGAACATGACTATGCGAGCGTTTTAGGCATGTGCGATAGCTGGATATGAAATCTTTATCTCACTCATGGGCAGGGCGCAGCAGCGATATTTCAGCTTTCTATCTTCTCTGCTTCCCGAAGTCGTTTCTCGCCAAGGAAATTTCTATGTTTTTTTCTTGGACGAGTGGGGGAGGGAGCGAAAGACCCATCGTCCCTCTTCTTTTCCTGGACCCACCTACGCGTATGAGCAACGATTTTGAAAAGAGAGCGTGATACGTGGGGTGGGAATTTGCTACCAAAATTTCGCCCTTCTAGCTTTCTCAGCTGCTGAGTTGGAAGTGGATGACAGAGTTCACTCGCTTCCGAACGCACGCACACACACGAACAACCTCTCGACAATTTGCGTTTTTGCACTTGCACTACATGCAAAAACGCATCCTGTCGAAAGATTGTTGGTGTACGTGTTTGAGTGTATGTATATGTGCGTATGTGTGTGCCTGTGTGTGTACGAATTTTTGTTACTGATGTTAAACTCAGCAACGCAGAGGCTAGGAAGCTGAAATTTCATGAGGATTTTCAAGTGCGGGTATCTAAAAACATGTTAGTTTTATGGCGGAAAATGATTTCAGTAAACAGACAGGATAGGAAGCTAAAACTTCACGTGGACATTCTCTGCCTAGGTATGAACAAAAGATTTCAAATTCAGCAATCACTCACAACTATGCTGCGTGTATGAACACACCAAGATTGAAATTCAGACATTACTGATAAAATGCCAACTCGAAAATCAGGCCGAGCTGGGTACCCTGACTTCACCAGAATATTTTTTGCCCAAATGCGAGTGGGTAGACATAAAATAAACGTTAACGTGTGCTTGTGTGGCGCATTCAAACGCCTTTAATGTACTTGCAATAGAAAGTGATTTCGCCAACCAATTAAGCTATGAAACCGAAATTTCATGAGAATATTCTATGCACAAGTAAGACTAAAATGTTTAAACAGTGTTCCGAACTAATTATACGTTTTGCGCTGTAATAGTTGCACAAAACGCATACTGTCGAGACTCCGCCTATGTGTGTGTGTGTGTGTGTGTGTGTGTGTATGTGCTTTTCGAGTGCATTTTTTCCGGGGATTTCAGTTCGGGGAACAGAGAAGCTAAGGAATTAAAATTTTGAGGGGAGACCCCTTACCTGCATGCGATTTCGCAAATTCAAACTTCGCGTCCTCGTGTGTCTAAGTTTCACATACAGTCACGCGAAATAAATTAATAACTCGGGAAGCACAAAAGCTAGAAAACTGAAATAAAAGGAGAATGTTCCTTGCTCGTAAATTTAAAATCAGCCTGAACGCATGCCTTGTCTCACGTACAGGTGCGCAAAATTTTTAACGAAATTTTTAACTCAGAAATCAGAAAAGCTAGGAAGTTGAAATTTCAAAACAATTCTCCCTGAGTGTGAATAAATTAGTCCCCGCGCGTGCCTAGGTCTTAGGTGTAGAAATGTGAAAATTTCGTTGGCAAAATTAATAACTCGGGAACAGCAAAAACTTCTGTACGTATCAAACAGTAATGCAGTGTACATTTTTGACGGCCGAGTTCCTCTGGACAGAAACGGACAAACGTCGCTGGACAGGATTGCACAAAACGCTTGATCGCATGATGTGCGTCGCTATTTAATTTTCACTCGCTCACATAGTAGACTTAGGCAGCACATCTAGGTCCCGCTTGCGAACAAGTGGAAGCTTAGTTTGAGTCACCAGTAACGCTCAGCTAACTCAGTAACCAGAACAGGAAGTAGTATTTCTCTGAGGACGTTTTCTTTTCATGAGCGGATCAGCAAGTGTAACGTGAGCTTCCGCTAATGAATATTCCCTGCCTACAGACGCATCAGTGATTCAAGTTGCCACACCGCAGGCGATTTTTCTGTAAAATGGAATCACACTGAAACGCATGATCAGACCAGCAAGTCTGTTGCGCGTTGCTGTTGATTTTCCTTATTTCATGCCATTTCCCTATGCCCTGTGCGCTTCTTGTTCTTTGCGCGGTTTGCGTAGCAGCATATTTTTTTCTGCCACTTCGCATCGCCTGAGCTTAATAAGGCAGTACGCGAAGCGATGTCCTTTCTGCATATTTAAAGCTGCCCGGGTTTTCGCCTACCAGTATCAACAATGCCTAGTCCGTTGCCACTTTCATAACTAAATGAGGTGCCTGAATCGGAATTTGTGAAGCTAATTAGAGGATAAAAAAACACAAAAAAAGCTACCATTAGAGAATAAAACTGCCTTTTCTTTGTAAATAAAATACAAGTGAGGCAGAATTTTTAATTCAGTCGGAATTTATTTTTCTATACTTTTGTGCAAGTCAAGAAGAAGCGCAGTAAAAAGGAACCATTTTTATGCGTTTTTGCTTATTTGTGCAGTTGCACAAGCGTATATTGACGAAGGGCTGTTGGTGTACACGTGTACGTGTATGTGTTGCTCGCACTTTTGCCACCCGATTTCAACTCAGTAACTGGTGAAACTAGAAAGCTGAAATTTTAGGAGCATGTTCCAACCCAGCGTGTAACGCTCATGAAGCGTTTTTGCATATACACAAATTGCAAAAACACATACTGCAACGATCTTGTCTGTGAGTGTGTGTGACCAAGCAAGCTCCAACGCTGAAATTTTGTGACTTGGCCCCCCGGCTAAGTGCCACCCAAGGACCGCGGTACCAACCCTCACGCGCGTCTGGGCCTCACGTACGAGAGTATGAAAGTTTTGGCGGGAAAACTGCTAACTCGGAAACGAAAAAAGCTAAAAAGCCGAAATTCCGAGGTCATGTTTCCTGCCCACATAGAACTCAAAGATTTCAAATGCAGCTTTCAGGTGTGCGTACTTTCCGCTTACGAACTCGCTTCCTGGTGGGAAAATCGCTAATTTGGAAACCAGAAAAGCTGGAAGGCCGAAATTTTAAGAGGATGTTCCCAGCTCATGTGCAACTTAAAATTATCAAATTCAGCCCCCAGGCATGTGTAGTTTTCACGTACGGCCCCGTGAAATCTTTCCGTGGATAAATGGCTTACTTAGGATTAAAGAAAGCCGGGAGACTGAAATTTTAAAGGGATGTTCCTAGCCAACGTGCAACTTAAAGGTTTCAGACTCAGCCCCCAGGTATGCCCCAGGCTACGTACGGCCCCAAGAAAGTTTTGACGGAAAAATTGTTAACTCGGAAACTAGAAAAGCTGAAATTTTAGAAGAATATTTCCCGTCCAAATACAGCTCAAAGGTTCCAAATTCAGCCTTCAGGTATGTGTGGTTCTCATTTACGGACACTTAAATTTTTTGACGGGGAAATTGCTCGTTGAACAGCCGAGTAATTTTCAAAAAACAACTGCTACACGGAAATTGTTTATTTTCGCTTATGCAAAATTTATGATGATTTACGGTTTAGAGCGCACACAGTAGGTGGTGAAGCGAAAACCATCCATGCATTTAACCCAACTGCTTCAAGTTTGCTGCAAAACGCATGATCGCACCGGCAAAGTTGGTGCGTTCCATCCTGGGTTTTTAAAGTCATCGCTCAAGTGCGTTTGGGTTTCACATACAGATGCCTAAAAAAATTCACATAAATTTTTTAGCGGGGAAGCGTTTTCGAGAACCAGACATACTAGAAAGCTAAAATTTTGCAGTAGGAAGCTGATATTCTATGCCCTTTATGTGGACTAATGATTTCAAATTCAGCTTGAATGCACACGCACATCATGTATACCGACACGTCAAACTTTCAATTTCGCAGTTGTCGGCAAAATGTCAGCTCGGCCACTGGGCTGTGTAGATTCCTCTAATTCTACTATTTTCCGTGTGCATTCGAGTATGCATAAGTGAAATCAGTAATTACACACATCTGTATCATACGCATGGCAAACTATTTTCGGGAAAAAATTTTGAAAGCCAGTTGAAATAATAATTTGAAATCTCCGAAGATTACGACGGTGCGTAACGGAAACGTTTGGACTTCATCGTTTAAACACGTTCAGATCTCGCGTATGAGCAGGCGACAGTGCCAGTTGGAGCACTGTTGGTACCCAAATTAACTTGCAAATCGGACTCATGGGCAGCTGCTGTTGCTTGAAAATATTTGTTGTTCATGTGCAAACCCGTGTGCATAAAACTGGCGCCTGCGGATGCTTGGATGCGGCAAGTCCTGAACATTTGCTACGATATTTTTACGTGATAGTTACTTGTTCCATTGTGGCTGCAAATGTGTAAAATTAGTTTTCGTTCATGCCATTTTCTCGCAGATACGCTGGACAGATTCTGGCTTTCTGCACTTCACATCACACTATACATACCGCCTGTACTTCCTATGGTTATTCAGAATTGCATTATCACTGATCGCATAGTACTAACGACATTCCTTTTCACTGCTACAAAGGCGATGAAGGAAGTTGTTGATGCCTTCGTTGAAGTCTTCTCGCAGTCAATCAGTCCACTGAAACTGGCATTGACAGTTGACACAT